TTAATGATATATTCTCGCTGATGAACATTAGCAGCTGAGGCCTCCACACAAAGACGTGGCAAAGCTACCTCAAAGGTAAGCTGGTTCTCGCAGCGGATCGTGCGGCCAAAAATGTGACAAGCGAGTGTGCACACTCGGTTCGCGAACTCTATCAAGATTTGTCCCTCAGAAACTCCGGAAACATCGCGGTGTCGTTCGATGAGTCGTGGATGACTCGCGGACATTCCTCGCACATCGGCGTCAGCACCGTGATAGAACTGTTCACGGGGTTTTGTTTGGACTACGTTGTCCTGAGCAATTTCTGCGCGGGATGCGGAACGGGTCTAAAAAAAGGCGACCCGTCTTTCGAAAGCTGGAAGAAAGGCCACAAGTGTCAAAAGAACACAAACAAAAAGTCAAGAAAAATGGAAGTGGACGAAGCTCTTATTTTATGGAAGCGGTCCCTCGAGTGGCATGGTTTTCGGTACACTACAGTACTTAGTGATGGAGACAGCTGTACGTATGTCGCACTCCAAAAGGAGAAAGGTTACGGTTACATAGAAGTGGAGAAAGAGGACTGTGTGAACGACGTACAAAAACGTATGGGCAAGGCACTACGCAACCTCGTCTCAAGAAGCAAAGCTTCTGGCCTTCAGAGCCTTGGCGGAAAAGGTCGGCTCACAGCTGACCTAATTACGCGGCTAAGCTCCTATTATGGATAAGCACTGAAAACGCAGACAGGAGATGCGGATGCCATGCACAAGGCAGTGATGGCAACCTACCATCACATAACGTCTAACGACACCGCACGGAACCATTCCTTCTGCCCAACAGGTCCCAATTCGTGGTGCCGCCAAAATGCCACAGAGGCTAGGGGTGAGCCAGCACCAAAACACCCTCGCAAACTGCCTCCTCATGTCTGTCAGGTTTTGTTGCCTATATACGAACGCCTGAGCAACAAAAAATTGCTTGGGAGGTGCCTGCGAGGGAAGACTCAAAATGGCAATGAAAGCCTGCACTCGGTCATATGGTCGCTTGCACCAAAGGAGCGCCATGCCTCCCTTTTTACGGTAAAAGCAGCCGTGGCGGAGGCAGTGCTAAGGTTTAATGCAGGAAATGTGAGAGCAACTGCATCAATATTAAACGAGCTGAGCCTAAGCCCCAGCACACTGTGCAGCAATCGTATGGCTGAAAAACATCAGCAACGCCTGGAAGCTTAAACTCGAAAGTGTGCATCAGCAGAAAATGTGCACCGAGCCCTGAAAAAATGCCACACATGCAACAAAGTGGAGACAGACTATGTGCCAGGGGGCTACTGATTACTTACAACTGGTAACTTGTAAATATTTTACGATATTGTGGAATAAATTGAGCTGTTAATGTTTTTTGCAATTTTCTCAGAACAAGCTTTTTACTCATTTTGCTTGTTTGGAACAGTGATATTTAAATTTTTGGGACAGCTACAGCTGTAATTTTTTGTATGTGATGCTGAATGCCTAAAGCTTGAACTGCTACAAGCAGATTATTTGTTTTCTCGCTTGCTTTTATTCAAGTTCATTAGTGGCTGTGACATAAACATCTAAGCTTTGATGAGCTCCTAAATTGCTAATTGTTGTTAGATTTGAAAACACTGCTTGCAGCAGTTCAATCCTTATGTATTCTACTTTGCATTCATGTACTAAATTTAACTTTCTACTCAGTGGATTTTCATCTATTGTCTCACCAATTATTAGTAATTAATATCTCATCATTTTTTGATAACTTACTGAGTCAGAAAAAATAACAGCATTTTTGAAATCAGCACAACAAAAAACATATACCTGTGCTCTTAAATTGAATTTGGTTAATAAATAAAAGAAATTGCTCCAGGTACCATGTCCCCCCTTAAGGCTTAGTACTGATATTTACTTGGATCATTGTTAATTGCGGTATCGCTGTATAGCTGATTATTTTGTACTTGTTTCTTTTTGGGGAGTGAATTTCAAGTGTGAGATTACTGTTTGCCACTTTGTTTCATGAGATAAAGTGCATTTGTTTTGCCACGCCCGCATTTCTTCCATCTCTCAAATCCATCCTTCGCAAGCACTCCAAAGATATGTTCGTGACAGTGTCCCGATCAATCACGAAGACTGACGAGCCAGCATAGAGAGTGATGGCTGGTGATAATAGTTAGCTTGCGCCCATACAGGTATGTCTAAAACTGCTGCACAGCGAAAATAACGGCGAGACATTTCTGTTCAGTAACTGTATAGTTCCGTTCGGGTTTGCTTAACGACCTGCTCGCAAAGGCAACGACAAGTTTTTTGTTAATGCGCGATGCGCTGAACAAGAATGCCACCAAGCCCTACACCACTCCCATCCGTGTGAACCTCTGTTGGCACTGAGGGATTGAAGTGTCGGAGAATCGGCTGCGACGTTAGCAGAAACTTGAGTTGTCGAAAGGAAACAGAACAATCAGGCGTCCACTGGAATTGGGTGTTCTTGCATAGGAGGCTTGTCAAAGGCTAAGCCACGTCAGCAAAGCAAGGAATGAATCTTCTGAAGTAGGGGAATAGCCACAGAAAGCTGGGAAGTTCTTTGATGGACTGAGGTGGCTCAAACGCTTCAACAGCCTCCCTTTTTGCAAAGTCGGGCCAGACCATTTTGAGACCATTTTGAAGTGTGCACACACTTTTGGTGAAGTTGTCGAAGAGAAGGGACCAAAAATTATTTTTGATACAGTGAGTGACCTAATGAGATATATTTTTTGTAAGGTAAAAAAATTTAAAATGCTCTATCAATTGATTGTGAAATCTCAAAAATGAATTTATTGACTAAACAAAGTCTCACTGTATCGTAATAAGTTCATGAGCATAAAATGAATTCCGCTTGCGTAGGACGGGGTATATTGAAGATCACTAGAAAAGGCCCCTTGATTTTGCAGTGAACATAGGCTGATCATGACAATAATGAATGGCAACAGAAATACACGCAGTTGCTTACTTGTTGAAACTAAAAATTAATTTGTGGCCATAATAAAAAAGAACTACAGAGAAAACTGCTCCTGGAAAGCAAGAGACAAAACTGCCGCTGGAAGGAGTTTCAACCTTTGGTTGAAACTCCTTTTGCTAAAAAAATACTTGAGAGCATGTGTGACGACTGGAAACCTACTTGTATTGAGGTGTGCACTTTTGGATTGGCACTCTATCGAACATGCACACTAACCTTCGGCTCAGCAGCCAGCCAGATGCGCCCAATCCAGCTGTCCACCATCCTCTCCTCTAGCGCTTTCCTGCTCTTTGCAATTGGCTAGCCTTTGCGTGTGCTTTGCAGTCAGGGGGGAGAGATCCCTTTATGCAGTGCCTCATGACGGAAATCATATGAAGTAATTTTTTGTTCAGTTGTGTGCAGATCTGTGGGGCGGCATCTTGCATCCCTCGTGATCACAATGTTGGTGGTCACGCGGGCTCTGCAAGTGATATGGTGTTTTGAGATAGCGTGATGCCGTTCCTGGCACTATGCAGGCAACCAATGAGAAAACGTCACTGCAACGCTTCTGCATGCACTCCCGTGTGAAGTGGCAATGACATTGCTTCGAGTTACAAAGCAGCAGCACGAATGAACAAAACAGACAGATGTATGATATTGGAGGGCGAAACACATCTATCGAATCTATGGGGCAAAGTGCTCCGAAGCATGTGTAACGCAAGCAGCGTTACCCACCATGTAGTGTCACATCACGATCGCTCCCTAAACTAAGGTGGACCGACGGCTCCCATCGAGATGCGCGCATTTGCACTGGCATTCAAAAAATATAGGAGGCATTGGTCACAGCCATAGGTCGGCGAAAAAAAGGGAGCTCACACAGACTCACTCCAGAAGTATATTATTCTTTGAAAACTCACTCAGACTCAGGGAAAATTATCCTCGACCAGACTCGCTCGAACTCAAACTCACCATGCTGGACTCAACCAGATTCAAACTCACGAGCCTGTAAGCAATAAATTAGCCTTTTTAATCTTGGTGTCAATGCTCTATACTGCCAATACCACCTTTGTGTTGCCACACTGCTTTTTCACGGTTTATGTTAATGGCCCACTGGATGTGTCGATACTGACTTGCATCGCGTTAGAAGCATTCCAGATGTTAGTGTGCCTTCAGCCGTGAGCCGAAGACATGTTTATTGGGGAAAACGCAGAGGTGAAACTGACCAGCTGTCAAGCGGGGCGAGCGCGAGCAGAAACAACACTTTTTTTTTTCTTTCGCTGGCGCTCCTGCCTGTGCCATATATCAATGCTACACAGATTATTTTACGTTTATCAAATAGGCTTGAATGCACAAACAGCAGAGTTTATTCTTGAAGAAACGCGGTCACCAGTGATAACCCTGGAATGTTCGATGCTGCATAAGTGCCGATGCACCTTGCCGCCATTCAGTTTTTATCGATGACCAATGCTCAGTTCACCGCTCTCAATGCACCGAGTGTCGGACTTAGCGTTTCTTGGGCACCCAAGAAAAAAGTTTCATCTTTCAACTGCTGCCCGCTTCAACATCAGTCATAACCTCATCAAGTACAAGTTACCAGCGGTTTCAATCCAATAAGGACACGTTAATAAAATATGCGACTCGCCTGAGATATTTTTATCAGGAACTTCTCCCGAAAGATTTTGAAAGGGAAGGTCATGGTGGGCCCCTCTCTAAGTGACGCCTCAGATAAACAAGTATGAGGTAGCGCATTGTTGAGATCTGCGAAAATACTTGAGTACAAACTTAAGCCGATTTAACACTGAAGATGAGTAGACAGGGCCACAGCGATTCAATGTTGAGCTCACTAAGACTAACTCACAAAATATATTTTGCACTTAGGATTCACTCGAACTCATTGGAGCCAAACTCTCCCAAATATTACTCACCCCGACTCAGAATCATGAGCGAGTTTGCCGAGCTGTGGTGCCAGCCACTGACTTACACTGGTGGGCTTAGAACGGGAACAGTGAAAAGACTGCTTCGTGTCACACTGCACTGTAATGTGGCACACGTACCCATAAGCCGCAGCGCTCGATCGAGGTTTGAGAAGTCCTTGGCGTCGTCAATAACTGGGTCTCGCAGTGGTCCCTTGCTTTGGTGTTCCTTAGATCGGGAGTTGTTCTTGAGCAGTTTCTCGGACTCTGATGAGCAAAAGTACTGAGTGCATCCATGGCGCAGGTACTGCATCCAGAAAAAGTTACGGCACAAATTCGTGATGTGATGTGATGTGATGACAACATAGTCTTCAACCAGTAATTGAAATAAATAGTCAGATATATTGAACTTTTTCCCTGTTGTCTCGAAAATCACAGGATTTTTTCAATCTGTTATTTTGAACATAGTAGGTTATAATATATACTCCATCACCCCAGAGCTTATGAGCTTTAGTGATATCAAGTAGGCTTTTCCGCAACATCCTCGAAGGTGTGCAAAGTGCTATGTGGCATAACATAACATTCACGCGTGATGGCTTTGCTAACTTGCGCAGGCACTTCAGCTGCGCTTGTCGATCATCATGCAAAACAGTATCTCCATGAGAGATGGCAGATTTACAACACTTCAAGCTTACGTCTTATTCCTTTCTTTCTTTTCTTTTCTTTCACTGCCGTGAGAAGCATACCTAGGGTAGCCATCTGTTCGATTTCAAACCGGCCCGATTGAATCTCTAAGATAGTGAACCAGTTGCCAGTCAGCATGTAAGACCGGCTGCAAATGGCCGTTTTTTTTTTTTTGTCGTAACGAAGCAAATATTTCTTTTCTGGGGCGTTATACAAGATGTCAGCTCAACTACGCAAACGCAAAGACACACACACACTGCCAGAGTACTGAATCCCTTAAAGCACTGGCATTCATTAAAAAAAATGAGGCACAGTCACATGGCATGGAATTGCCATATTAAGCACATCAGTCACAAACTTTGTAAAGATTTAGGTGTGCGATTCCAGAATATATTACCTATGGAACAAAAAAATTTTTGAATACGATGCTCTTTTTTCATCCCATTTACATTATCATATGGTCATATGGTCATATGGTTATCATATGTCATATGGTCTGGTATACAGGCTCTAAAGCGTCATTAAATGACCTAGTCATGCAACCAAAAAATGCCTTGCAATCTATTGAAGGTGAATCCTATAGCACACACACACTGCTTCATTATTTTCAAAATATAGAATTTCGCAAATATTGTTTAGCACATTGCCCATATTCAACTTGTTTATATGCATTCCCAACAGATCTCCCATATTGATGCTGGCCACACTTGCAATACATTCTGCACAGATGAGTGAGTTCGTGCAAGTGAGTTCAAGGACAGTGCTCACATGGAAATCGTCAGGGCTGGTTATTCGAAGCTGCTGCCTGAGCTCATTGGGTGCACCAGCGCAGAGTTGGTAAAAGATGTGGTAGTTCCGTTCACCCTTGCTTTGGCCACAGATGCGAGACTTTTCCAGCAGGTAGTGAGAGATGAAGCCGCCCACTACGCTGCACTGCAATACATGGAGACAACACTTGAGACATGCTCTCCTTCCTGTCACATAAGGCAACTTGAAGGCACTTTGAGGGGGGTGTGCTTCACCGTTAGTGCCACTTGCAGGCTGCCACATGGCAAAGTGCACCTGCCAAACTCACTTCGCTGTGACGGAGTGACTAGCCTCGGTGGCTTGTGAGTATATCCCTAATCGAGTTCATCCCATCCTTTCAAAATCATTTTGGAAAGTAGGAATATTGTGATCTATCAAAACATACTCTACTACAAAAACCGACTATTCTCACTCAGGCTGTTAACAGCAACGACCGCCAGGTGCATGCCCCAGTGCGCACCATGCAATGGCTGTGGCCGCAGTGTTTATGAATTAAGTTTATTAACACGATCCAAAGGCTCAACAGCGTGTCCCCTGCTGCGAGGCATTGACAGTATTTTGATGTGTTGAGCAAGCTCCTTGGCCACGACTCAGGAGCTGAGTGACGATGAGCGAGCAGTGATGACATGAACAATTTTAGTGTTGTTTTCCCGGTGTCTACATGTGGTACTGTCAGGCGGTGACGCCTGGCTGCCTGGCTAAAGCTTCACTTGCTTTGTTTTGCTTGGTTTGCGCAGCACTTTTGTTGTGCCGCTTCAGGCGATAGGTTGTGCAGTCGTGAGCGCAAATGTGATTATTTGAAGCTGCGGTCATTACGAGCAAGTTACACGCACGCAGCATTCATATGTCTTGCTACCCAGCATAGACCAAGCACGTGTCTCAAACTGGCTTGTCCCTGCTAGGTTCAGTTTCAGAATCACTGCTCAGAAGAAGATCGAACCAAAAATGGTTCGTCACTCTGAGAATTACCGCCATTAATATTCCTCAGCGTTTTCATCGTCGCTTGTGGATGCTGATGACGCCGGCGACAACAATGGGGCTAGCGAAGACATGCCTACACACTGCCCGCAAAGCAGACGAAATGTCAACTCAAACTCTCGTTACCATTTCATGTGGCGACGTGATCAGATGGGGCAAGACTTCGAGAGGGGACCGCTTGGCAGCACTTGCATGCTTTGCACCGGTTTCGAATTGGGTTCGATAATGGTCACACTAATCGATATTATACATATATTATGTCATCCCTCTGCTGCATTATTAGTACCAGATCGTTAACTAAGAGATTGATAAATACTTATTGACACCACTGCTCTTTTAGTATTGCAAGTGGATGTGGATGGATTGTTCGTGCATGACACTAGTCTGTCAAAAGAAGTCAGAACTGCCATACAGTGGTAGTTTAATGCAAATTCACACCACTATGCTTTTGTAGGAGATGCGTACATGCCCCACTGCCCAGTGTTCATTTCAACAGTGGACCATTCTGTGAATAGATATGTATAAGCACAAACACAAAAAATAAAATCACGAATCTGGGTTCTTGATATATATGTACATTAACGCAAAAAAAAAAAAAAACATGAAAGAAGGACATGCACGTACATCATATACAAATGCTCCCAAGGAATGATATCCCATACGCACATTGCTCATCCAGTCCAAAAGGTGATGTCCGCAATGAGACCCACATTTGTCTTCCAACTAAGCTACTTGTGTTCATAAAGAAGAGCAATATGATTTAGCCTTGCTTGTCTCATTGCCAAGCTCATTAACTCGTCGGAGGCAGGGGAAAGATCTCTCTTAGTTCGCACAGCCTGACTGGCACAGTTACCACAATTTTAAATGACTTGGCTATTTCAGGATGCAGCCCTCTCATATGCACATGTGAACGTTACCTTCAAGCGTTCTGCCTTACAATGTCGCACAGCATGTTGTAGCGCAGCTTTACAGTGTGAACTGTAAAACTGAAATACATATGTGGCATCGGCACTTCCAGTGAGAAACTGCTCTACTGGTGATGTACTGCCAGCGGGATATCGGTCTTCTACGAAGAACAACACCGGGCCCACTGCATTGTCTTAAGGAGAATGAAACACACAACCTGCAGATCCATTGACGTGGCTGTGTGCATTTTTTTTTTTTTTTGAAACTGGGATCAATGGCTCTTGAATGTCAAGCTTACTAGTTTCAGCCAGGCTCTTGGGTCAAAAGTGGGAAAAGCTTTGATGGAGTTGGCTCCCTCTAGCAGTTTAATCATTCTTCTCGCATTGTCAAGCAATAAAGATTGTTTCTGTCCAGTAGAGCGCAATGTTTCTAGATGCAAGTATACTGGTGTCATTAGTTTGATAAATCCAACTTTGAAGGCACCTCCAGTGCCTCCAGTGGGGGGAAACAACCTCGGTGGGTGCATCACCCCCACCAAGGAAGTTTATGGGAACACGCACCCCGTAAATGGCGGAAGGAATTTGCCTTTTTGCTAGCTAAAACATTACAAGTCTCATGCATTTCTAAACAGGTGTGTGGGTTGCCACTTTATTTTTCTTTCAAACATTCAAGAATATGAGTGGGGATTAGGGTGACATTGGTCATGTTGTGGCGGAAGCGTGGCGAGCAGGCAGAGTTTCCAATGAGGTCAAGCAATGCAACATTCATACTTGGAGGGCACACTCACAGACATACAAACGAATAAACGGGTCAGCTTTAGCGAAAATCATGAGTCAATTCATACAGCCATGAAACGAGTTCCCCTTGCACTGCAGCTAATTCGTAAAACAGATGTGAATTGCGCGTTTTGGGGAGTATTGAATAATAAAATATGTAGGGTTTTTTTCTTGGAGAAACCCAGCCTATCTGTACAAGCCAAAAATTGATACCCGAAAACTAACCCGAAAATCGCTTAGCACAAGTGCATCCCACATGAAACAAATCTGTGCTGCATTTGCAAACACACCCTAAGGAACTAAATTGTCTTATTCACAAGTGAACACATGAAGGAAGCAATGCAACCCAAAGAACAGCGATTACGTTTGACTATACTTTATAGAGAAGCGATTGTCACTCAGTGTAATAATGAATATACACATATGTACAAATACTATACCTTCCTTACTATATGGGTTTAATTCAGCACTTCATATCTTTCAATCAATTGTATACTCTCCCTAAGTATACCTTACACGTATAACTATCATGCAAACAGCAGCCCTTTCCTAGCGTGCTTCAGAAATGATATTTTTAGAAATTAAATTAGGGTGGTGTGAAGCTATTAGGATCCTTGAACAATGAATCGAACGGTATCATATTCACTTAGATTTATAATTTAAAAGGTAGGTATTCCAGATTTAAAAGTACTCGATTCAGTATGAAAAGTTAATATTCGCGCGCTCCTACAAAATAAACAGCACTGTACACATGGTTGGGAAAACTTGGAGGCCTCATCAAGAGCAGAAAGGGTCCGGTGCGGTCTACACGAGTGCTAAAAAAAAATTAGCTGACGTCACAGGCCACCAAAATTTTTGAAATCATGACGTCATAACGCGGCATCGCCGCTTGGTCTTAAGTCAGCAGACCCCAAGAAACTGATACCGCGTGAGGGGCAGGAAGCTTTCGGTAAGGGGATACAGTGGACTGAGAAGAAAAAAACTTTGGCTGCGTTGGCTTCCAAATCCTCTTAGACAAATCCATAAGAGACAGAGTTTTATTGGGATAGAAATTTCGCACACCCCCTGCGCACTTGCTGGGCTTTCGCGAATGCGAGGGCGCACCTGTCAAAATCCGGTCACGCACATGGTATTGCAGATCTTTTCAGTCCAGTTCAGGACCGCAGCACAGTGGTGTGGCAAACGAAGCGACCACATGAAACGGTTGCTTTATGAGTCCTCACCGATTTGAGCACTCATTGCACTAGCATGTATGTAGACCATTGCGAATACTTGCGCACAGCTCTTTTTTTTCCCCCAGAATTCCAAGTCTTTCTTTTTTTTTTTTAAGTTTAAAGGGGCTCTGGAACACTTTTTCCAGTAACTGTGTAATAAATTCTCAACAAGAACCTATTGCCTCACGGATTTTGAAAATTTTAAGCATCCGTCCAGTATGAACGGAGTTACAAAAATTTGTCACATACTGCAAACGCACTCTCTCTTCTCTCGTCCTGAAGAAAGCGCTGAAGCTAAGCAGTGTGGGATGGCAGGGGGAAAAAAAATACGTCACACGCCCCTCGTGACCTTGAGCACTGTTTTTTTTTTTTCTTCGAATAAGCTGCTTTTTCAGTGTGATCGCAAATGCACGTGTGGACAAGTTGCAGTCTCCCACTAAGATCCCTGTAACAACCAAGCACGCCATGTTCAAATCAGCCAAAGGCTGATCTGATAAATGGCCTTCAACCAGTAATTTTCAAGTGTCTTCAGTCATTTGTTGAGATATGAAAAAGCAATTTTTAGCTGACTGATAATTTATTGTTCATTCCAGGCCGCATGCTGCATTATAATATTTAGCTTGCGTGTTTTCGAGAGCCCCTACTATTGATCGGCAGCGTTTTCTGACCATGCTCAAAAAGTGTTGCAGAGCCCCCTTCAAATCCCACCCCCTTTGTGCTTTCACCACCTTCAATGTCTCGACAGCATGCTAGCTGATTGAGACCCTTGGCTTAGCCAGTGGAAGCTGCAAAAGTGGTCTGGGTATCACATTTGTCATTTGGGTGGCTGGGCCGGGGTAGGATAGGCGGCTTACACATTTATGGCGGCCCCCAGTGAGCACCCGTATCAGCGGGACATGATTGAGCGCGTCTTCGTTTTCTGCTCACATTTCTAGGTGTGTATGGCGGCTGATGCCGTCGATACTGAGAGAGTAAATGAGCTATGTTGCACACTTTCGTCAGTGAAGGCCGGGTGCCTAGAACATAAGATATAACATGATCTACATGAGCGAACAAATTATTTGCTTAAATTCAGTTTTGCTAAAGATAAATGATGCACGTCTTGTCTATTTCGCACATTCCAAGCTTTATTCCTGCTACCTCTCTGCTAGATCAGTCAAGGCCCACTACAAAAAGAAAATGGCAGTCACATCAATGATTTTCGAAAATACAATAATCATTTACAACACGTGTTACCGTTATGTGAGTAATT